ACTTTCTATATTAAACTAACTCTTCAAGCTATTACGCAGTTATCTTCGGTTACATCGAACAGGGCTTTTCGGTGTCTGATTTTCTGATCCGTGACTCATACACCCTAATCAGTCAAGACTATAGTTTATAGTCACTGCTGTGGGATATTCCCCCCTCCTTCCTTTTGCCGGCCCATTCAATCACTCCGAATTCAACTAATACTCATAAAACAAACCAGAAAAATACTTTGACAAAGCAAATATTTGGCATATATAATGGGCATTCCTGAGTCGTTTTCAAATGTTGTTTTTGGTTTTTTTTTTGCCTTTCGGATGCTTGCATTAGCCGCACACACAAACACACACAGGGAAACACAACAACACACAGCTTCGGACTGAATGCCTACCAACGATCTTTTTACGCCCAGCCAACGAACCTATGACATCAACATTATTTCGGCCAAAAAAGCCAGCTGAAAATTATTTATTTCGTATATTTAAATTTCAACAGAGCAATGTGCAAGTAATGAGTGTTACGAGGGGGGAGGGGAGGGGGAGGGGGCTACCGAGGGCCCCACAGATCTCCACTAAAAGCCGAGATTGTCTCGAGCTTTTCCCTACCATTTAGACGACGTTGATTGCTCAATTCGCCAGAAAACCAGATGAGCTAATCGCCCTGCTACTCCGACTTTAGACTGGGCCAACTTTGACTTTAGATTTTTAATTAAGATAATTATAGTTGGTGGCCAAGTACCGCGAGAGGCTGGGAAAAGAGTGTGCAGACATCAATGAATGGTCTCCCAAATGAGTTGAAACATTTGTTTCGCTTCCTGCGCCGCTTTTTGTCCCAAATGTCAGTCCGTCAAATATTTGTGGGTCGAGCGAACGTTTTTCTTTTTTTTTGCCTATAGATAAACACAGACGTCAATTAGTTAATATGCTTTTAAAAAGGAACCGCACGGCGATCTCTGCTCCGCAGTATTTCAGTATTTCAGTATTTTGACTACGAGACACATGACTAAATACAAAAAAAATCACAGATAGAGGCTGGGCGAAAGAGATACGGAATACGACCATAATAATCACACGCTTCTTTCGGTCAAGTACAGTAGGGCTCGAAAAATTCCGCAAACGCTTGCAATTTTGTGGTTTTTTGTATTTATTTTTTTTTGTGGGCTTACCTATTATACAACAAATACATGGGACCAGCAGCGGTGCACAGAAAAATGAGTATCAAATCAAATTCGTTTGAAGAAGCACTCGCACACAGATATGCCACCAACACTCAGAAGTGGGGAACAATATATGGCATACATAATATTAAAGAAATCGCACCCAAAAAACCAAATTGGCATAAACTACGCCGAAAATAAATTGAAATCTAAAAATGAAATTCAAATGCGGCAAACGCCCCAAGAGGAGCTGAAAATCGCGAAACAACACAACAAACAAATCAAAATCAAAATAAAGCCCACAAAAAGCGCAAGCAAGACAAAAAAACACAACAATGTGGATAAGTGGATGGATGTGTAGAGGAAATAGAGAATCAAATATCCAGCAATGTCAGTCGCACTTCCATGTGAAGATACTGCAAAAGACTTTGGGGAATTCCATAACTTATTTATTCCTAGTCCTTCAATTTTTGTATCAACAATTTGCTTAAATTTTCAATTGAAATTGTGGTATCTTTTGTTCTATGCTGTCGACAAATACAAATAATAATACATTAACAAAAAAGAGGTTTAAAAGACACTTCAAGTTTAAATCGTATTTATTTGAAATGTAGGACGTTCAAAGTTTTCTTGAGATCTCATCCATTCAATCATAAAAACAAAAATATGTTTGGATTTCCAACAGGCATAACCAACTGTAATGAGTTTGATTCCGAAGAATTTCAAGATGGCAACAATTTTTTAACTACTATTTAAATAGCAGTTAAGAGACCTTCAACACATTTGCGCAGAACTTCAAAAAGAAATTAAAATTATAGCAAAACTCGTGCAGCGGTACGTACAGACACAGAAAAATACAGAAAAAAAGACAAAATGAGGCATACAGAAACCAGTTTTACCTGGAAAGCAACAAAAATTGGTCTGATATTGTACGTAAGCAGTAATTGAAGTTAACGTAATTATAAACGTAGTCCCGGCCAACAAGAATCATGTGCAACACATACAAAAAAGAGGAACAGCGGCTTCAAGTCGAATAAAAAAAATACAAAATGTCTTACATACACGACGACGATTTCGAGTAAAGAGAACGGATCCAACTCGCGCGATGGTCAAGCTTAATTTCCCAATTAACATGGAAAACTTCAAAGGGACAAATTCATTTACGCTTCACAGCAAGTTTGGCGCGAGGGAAGCAATCGTAAGTCCAAAAACGTGCGACTCGACTCGGAGTTTTTCCCCAGAGAAAGGGAGAATCGGAGAACTAGAGAATCGGAGAAGTGGAGACAACGCTCCCAAGGTTCCGAGGACATTGACGCTAAGGTCAAGCGAAACCCGCTACCAGCGATATATCACCAGCAAAAAGTCCTCCTTTTTTATGGCATAAGCAATCCTCGTATCTGTATTTTATTTGTAGTATAAAAACGATACATGTAATACTAAAAACTGATAGCAAACACTCACCCTGAAGTTTCATGTTTTGTCATTATTATCATTTTGTTATCCAGGAATTTAGGTTTAAATTGTACGTTACTAAATCAAGCTTAAAATCATTATTACTTTTCATTTGTATTCTTTGTTTCAGGGATTGCAAATGAAAGTTATAAGATAAAAGGAAAAATTACTCTAATTTTCATTTATTTTAATTTTAAATAATTATTAGTATTAGTAAACCAAAATTAAATTCTTACATTTTTTGATAAAAAAACATTTTTTAAATATTCAAAACATTCAATATATAAATGTGTACTACTTTCGTAAAATCGTAATTTAAGTAAGCTGTCAGATTTTATTTTTATTTTAAACCATTTTCCGGAAAATTAACAGCTATTTCTAAAGTCAATTACTTTGGGTATAAACTGATTTTACTATAAGTTCCTGTGTTAGTCAATGTTTTGTAAACAATTAGCGAACATCAAAATAAATAAAATTAATATGTAGATTCACTAATCTGTAGAGAATAATTAATTGTAAGGTTTATTTTATCATCACAATTCATTTCAAAGCCATTATTGTTGCATTTGACATGCCATGTTAGGTCGAAATAAATCCATTAAATGCTGTTGTATTTCGTTATATTTTCCCTCTACAATTCCCCATTTCTCTCTCGGTTTCTCCGATATTCTCCTCAGTGTTTGCCTGTCTCGGTGGGCTGTCTTATCAGCCGTTTTCAGTTTTCAAAACAAAGTCCATTTCCATTGTCGGTTGGTCACTGCTGCTCGTGTGCGTTTCGCGACTCTACTGTACAGTAGAGACATCGTTTAAAATGCCATTATCTAATCGCCGCCTTACTGCCAGCGTGTGTGCTTCTCAGCGGGTTTCGTGAGCGGTGGGGGCATTGACGATAAGCCTAAGCGCAGCATTTTGTTAGTTTCTTCCTCATACTTTTATTAAATTATGAGCGCCGAAGATTAGGTTGAGGGACACCCAAAAAAATACAAAAAATAAAGAACCAACGAAGCAAAAACTATGAAATAATGTGGCATGTTTGAGGTGTTCGCTGTTGTTTTGTAATTTTTGTGTAGAACCGCCAAACAGGGAAACTGGTTTAACCTGTCCAAAAAAACAAAAAAAAAGAAAAAACCAAATTGCCGACAGCCAGTTAATAGCCCAACACAAAAAAACACCAAGTCTAGCAACAATAAACTAATTAAATCATACCAAAATACGTCGCAAAATGTTCTAAAATCTCGCTCTTCTCGCTTGTAAGAGAGTGATTAGTAAAAATAGCTGAGACATTTCATTGACGGTATAAATAAAATGTTCTCAAAATAAATATTTCAATATCATATGCAAAACTCGGTGCTTTTAGCGCTGATAAAAAACCACCGCACACACGCGCTTTAGTTTGACAAATGTATCTGTGAGATACGTAGCGCTCGAAGAGCGAGCAAAAAGCTAGAACCACGAACGAAATAAACCTTTTCCGATTCGTGTGAGCCGATTTTCATTCGGTTTTCTCAGCTCCTCGGTGATATTTCTTTTGGGTTTCTGTTTCGTTTTGGGTTTGGGTTTGGGGTTTGTTTGCCGACGAGAGATCGCACCGCCCGAGAATGACAAACACCGAGGCAGTTTACAATGTTTGCTCGTGTATTAGCAAAAGAATTCTAACTGAACCGAGCAGCGCGACCCGACTTACGTTTGCTTATGTAATAGGCCTGCACTTCTGTATTCCTATACATCTATATTTCAAGATTGCTACTTCCACCATCAACTGATCGACCCGGAGTTCTGATAAGTCTCTTGCAAAGGAATCTCATGACGAAATGTTGGGAAACATCAATGGATAATGAATGGCCAAAACAAAAGAAATAATCGCAGTAGCCTGAGTCATCATGGAAATATTAGCATAAAAACCAATTTTAAGATTGGTTTTTTGATTTTTAAAAAGCCTATCATAAAAAAATTATTGTCGCATTCTTAATTTCAATAAGAAATCTAAATATTTTAAGTTTGCTTAACAATCCTGGATTTGTTTGGTGGTTTTATATAATTATTATTGAAATGTTAAGCAATAATTAATTTTTCTTATTTTATCGACAAAGAAAGTTCAGAAAATATAATAATGCTTAATCTATTGAGTTATCGAAAAAATTTTGGGAATGCCCTATATTCATTTTTACAATCAAAAGACAATATAATAAAACTAAAAATAAAATATATTTATTTATACATTTTAAACTTCTAAAATTGTCTTCGGTATGCACGTAAATTCAATATTAAAACTTGTAGTATTTATTTATATTTTCAGAATGTTATTTTTTTTTTTTTGTATATTCTAACGGACATAGCAAATTAGAGCTGTTTAATTTCGTATACTAAATCTTAACCTTAAAAATAAACTTGTCATACCTTTCAGTTAATGATTTACTTTCAATAAAGTTGATCAAACCGTTTTCGCTGGCTTCAAGTATAATCCCATAGATAATAATCTACAATAAATGCGTTAATCCATGTTTGTTTAGTTTGTTAGGCGGCATTATATGTGATAATTATTGAATATATAATTTGATTTTGCACATTGATTTGCACTTTGTATTTGTGTATTATTTTATTTTGAGAGGTTTTTTTTAAGACCAAACAATTTGATCAATTTGCGTGGATAACTGTGAATCGCTTTTGTTTTATTTGTATATTTCTTTTTTACTTTGTGTACAACTTGCAAAGTGAAACCGTTGTGTGTATAAATATATCTTTATATCGATTTGGTTTTTATCTCTTCTTTTTTATGTATTTTTTAAAAATATTTTCAATGATTTTGCCAAGGCTAGCTTGATTTTATTTATGGTTTTTATTTGTATTTATTTTGCACAAAATATATACATCAAGATTTTGAGTAAAATCATATAGTATTTTGTCAGAGAAACTGTTTGGGCGAGAAGAATGTAAAACTATTAATATTGTTTTGAGGTTTCGTGGGCGGATCAGGAGGTGGAGATTCCGAATTTCTTATTTTGAATTTTCCAAAAAGTGGGCAATTAAAATTCACACTGAGCGAAACGCAGTGGAAACGAAACAAAATATAAATAAAGATACGCAAAGCGAAAAGCGACAAAATTATGAAACCCGAAAGCGGCAAAGCGACACGAGAGAGCCAAAAAAAAGAGACAGCGCGAAAGAGAGCGGGAACGTGTGGACAACGGAACGCTACACAAAAATTCCGCAACGAGGAAAATTTCTTTAAAAACCTAATTGTTCAAAAAAAAACTATGGATGGTAATTATTAGATTTATGTTGCTACGGTCTTAAGTTATTGTCGTGTATCGGGGAGATACTTTTTTGCAAAGGGAGCGACGAAAAAGACACGCACTCACACACACGCACGCACACGTAAACACACACGCGCACTTTGCTTTGCTTTTTTTCTTTCTTTTTGGGCTGCGCCAACTTTTCCTCTTCGTTTTGCTGCGTTTTCTACGTTTTCTACGCACTTTGGTATCCGCAAGATACACGGCTGTAACTTTCAGTTGATCTTTATTCTTTGTGAAACGCCAGATAAAAGGTAAATAAAGTCGGGACAGACACGCACGGCGAAAAGAGACGGAGAGACACGTCGACAGTGGCCTGCATGAACTGTAGCGAACAGTCAACCTCACCAAACGAAATACAAACTCGAACTGAAATGCATCTCACGACTACGCATATCCACCAGCTGTGTGACGTGCTTCGTGCTCTCTTAGCGCGCTCTTCGCCCTCTCTTCGGCCTGAGTCAAGTGTCAAGATGGGAGACGGTCGCCAATCACTATTGCTGCTCTCTTTCCTCTGCCGCTGTAAGGCGGCCCCACTAGAGCGGGATGTCTGCTGGGGCTAACCGCTCTCTTTACCTCTCTTTGGCGCTCTTGGCCGCTCTCCCAAGTGCCGGCATTTTCGCTTGAGCTCCACCACACGCAAAACACAAACAAAGACAAAAACAACATTGTTTTTTAATGGCGGCTTGGCGAAAATAAAAGCAAAAACGAACCCAGTTTGGGAATATTTAAAAACAAAGTTTCTCCCATGATTTTGAAATTAGATAAGGCAGAAAAATACTATGTATTTACATTTTTAGCACCATTAACACCATTCCTTTAAAAATAGTTTACAGTTTACCGAGATTTAATTATTTATGGGTCACAAAGTAACGTTTTAAAGAAAAATTCATTTTAATTTCGATTATTTTTAAAGATTTTACACAAAAATATTGTAGGACCAACAAAATTTGGTTTTTGATCGAATTTTATAAAGCACTCCCTTTTGCGGTTTTAATATTATACAATATGGGCTGGTATAAAATAAAAATAATTTTTAAGGTTTGGTTCGTTTATTATCTGTAATCTATCACTAAAAATAAACAAAACGAGAACGGAGCCCAAAAATGGTAAGACGAAGTTTTGTTACCCTTGCATTTCTGTATTCCGATTTAATGTTGGGTTTGTCTACATCAATCATAATATTTTTTAACGTTATTAATCTTATCTTCCTCAAATTTACTCGATTGTAGTTTTGGGACAAAGTTAACAACGACAAATATGCAAATTTTTTCGAAAACAAAAAAATTTAACTAAATTGACCCACTTGTTCCTACTGGCGAACTTAAAGTAAAGCTGATCAAGAATTAATACACGTTAAAAAATTGGAAATGTGGTCTTAATTGCGTTACAAACTTATAACTAAAAAAATTTGTTTAAGCTTTGCAAAAGTATATAAGAGGAATAACATATAAAATGCTACTTTTAGAAAATGTTTTTTCAAATTTTAATGAAAGTTCTTTCGGTTATATTAAACGCAAATATTACGCGAAAGCGAGTTTTTGACTTGGTCAATAATTGTAATTTTTTGGCGGCAAAATAACAAAAATTTTTGGTAAACGCATTTCTTGTTTTTGAGACCGATTAAAAACTACGTTTACCCATATGACAGACAAAGGAAAATGTAGATTTTCCAATTTTTAGCTTGAATATTTGATAAAATTGTTATAAAAAATATTTTTTTCTAATTTTCAATAAATAAAAACACCACAACATTTTGATGACGAAACACATGTTGTGTTTGGGGCTCCACAAAGAAGAGACAAAAAGTTGATAAGAGAGCGAGCGAAAGAGGCGATTATTGCTTCTCAGTTGTAGCTTTGTAGCCGGGGCAAAACGCAAAACAAAATTAAGCACAAAAATAAGCAGAAAAAGAAGGTGGAAAAGCTCTCTGCGGAACGTCGTCTACGACGGTTGTCGCCTTCAATTTCAATAGCAGCCAGTGCTAGCGAGCTGTTCCTACACAAATACCTATATAGATAGTATATCTGCACGAACGAGCGTATATATATTGCAGCTACTTAGCTACTTTTTATGGCAATTTGCTTTGGATTTTTTGCGGTTCAGTTTTGTTTTATAAAATTGCATTTAATTGCCAAAATTTGTCTAAAAGAGATGTTGATTTGGGCAAGTTTGAAATCCTCTTCTGTTTAATCAAATATATATACATTTGTTAAAAAATGATTATGTGTGTTACTTCAATTAGTACAGTTGGCGCCATTTTTTAATATATTACTTTTATTTAAAAAAAACGATACCCTTTCCAAACTTTAACTACTGTTGTTAGTATTAATAAATTTGTTATAAGACCTTTCTTGTATATTTATTTTCTCTTACTGAATATAAAAACTCTTGATCTTTATTAATATTTTGATTGTAGCAGCATTAGTTAACCTTTGGAAATTTTTAAAAGAATTTTTTTTAAATTATTATCTGTTTTTAATAGGGTTCAAATTTTTCATTTATCTACAAATAAGAATCGACTTATCCTTAATAATTACAAAACTAGTTTTAGATTTGGAAAACAAAATATGAAGATGTTTATACAGTCCAATTTTAATCACATAACTAACTGTTGAAATAAGTAAAATAAGTATAAACACAACTTGCGAAAACAGAAACTTGTAATACAACTTAAAATTACACTGTAAGTACAAAAAAATAAGTTTTATTTCAAAGGTAATAGTGGAAAATGAGATCACGTAACGAGCATGAAAATAATGCTTCTTTTTGCGATACAAATGGCTTCATTTAGTTTAGTTTACGAACTCATGTAAGAAATTAGTTTTCTAATGTTGCCAAAACTAAACCTAAAAAGAAGCTAACTGCCCTTGCCAATGACATCATTATGAAATCTTTTTGTCCATTCCCTAGCTCCAACGTTCTAGAAATTGAGCTTGATTCCCGCCAAGAACTTGCCAGGCCAATTTGAGATTTCCCCCTGAATCTGGCCCTTCTGAAAACCCTTCTACTTCTCAACACTTAAGATTTTCTTTGGATTTTTCCGAGCCGTAATTATGCATGACAATTGTACATTTTGTGTTTGGTTGGCCCTCCTAATGTTGTTGATAATTTTATGCACATAATGGCCAACAACACCAACCATTGCCAAACTGCCAGCGGCATCAAGAGGTACTTTAATTGCTGACTGTTTAAAAACTTTAAACTTGCCATTTTCCTTATGTCTACGTTTGCTTCTTTTTTTGTTAATGTTGCTAACAATTAGATACAAAATGACTCAAAAAATATGATGAAACGAATAAAAGAATGGTGGAAACTCATTTGACACTTGATGACCACCCAGCAACCTAAACTGATCCTCTGATGAATTTTCCTTAAAACTTTTGTAAATCGTAGACTAAACTTGGGTCTCACTTTTACCTGAAATATTAATAGCTAGAAAAAGAGCAGAAAAAGAGCAGTCCAAAAAGTGAATTTAAAAAAAAAGCAATTATAAAGCCCGCGATGAAGCCGCAAATTGTTAGAGCGCGGCGTAAGGCAAACTCTAAAAATAAAAATCAAAACCAGTAGTTGCCAACGTGACGCCATAAATCTCAGTGTGCAGACGATCCCCCTCAGCCGCCAACTGTTTTTTCTTTGACCCCCCAAATCCCCTCTTCATTTTGCCACGCTAGTCCAACAAAAAATTAAAATCAAAGCCGGGAACCCAAAACGAAGGCGTTTGGCCAAACTCCATGCGAATATGATTGTATTTCTATTTTTTGATTGTTTGTTTGCCAGGGCCTTTGCCTTGGATTTGTTTGCGGAAAACATTGAACGGACTTTTTCATTGGCTTTATACTCCATTTGGTTTGAGGAAAAGAAAGTATAGTATACTATGAACATTTAAAGATTGTATTAATATTTTGGACTATTTATGTTATTCAATTTATAAGCTTTATAAAATCGAGAAGACTTTCGACTTTATCAAAAGCAGCGTAATACAACATTATTTAATAATACAAAAATATACTATTTTCATTCGTTTTATTCCGTCTTTAAAAATTAAAGTTTTCTATATAGTTAAATATTTTAGAAATTTCTAAAAACGATAATTAATAACATTTTGGTTTTTTACGTCAAATATAACATATTCTTTTTTTGTTTTTACTTCTTTTAAAAATATAACACTTACTATAATGCATTTTGAAAATTTTATTAATGTATATCAATCAATTTCAAGAATGCATTTAATAAGTTTTTAAAACTCTATATTGAAATAAAAGAAGTAATTAATGAAATCAAAAAATAAATGAGTACAAATTAATTTGTGTACCAACTTTAAAATTCTTTTTCAAAGCTATAATATTTATTTATTTTATATTCGATTGTTTATTTTTACAATTGTTTTCGACACACTTTGTTTAAATTCGTGATGGCAGAACTTTTCACTTGGTATTTGATAAATATTTAATCTCTTTCTATTTGCTTAAATTAGTATTTGTCTAAGTTTCAGCTTTTCTCACCTATTTTTGAGAGTTATATTTTGTTAATATTTTGTTCGTGCTGTTTGCTCTATATTGTGATGTGTGCATTTATTCTACATCGTATTTGCCGTGCTCGCTTTTTTTCTGCGTTTTCTGTGTGACTGCTCTCGTCGCAAGCTTTATATTTAACATATTTATATATATTCCCCCGGCTCTGTTTTATTTGGATTCTATTTTATGCTGATGTCCACAATTCGACAGGTGTTGCAACCGTGAAAGATAGAAAAAAAGACACGGTTTTTATTGTGCATTTTTTCTCGTATTTATTCACCTTTTTATTTTCCTGGAGTTGTTGTATCGTATCAAATTAAAAGTTTCTGTATTGCAGTTACTCATTTTGTTGGTGTTGCAGGTTCAAGGAGGACCTGTGAAGAGCTCTTTAATTAGAGTTGAGGAAGAAATTTCCATTGCCAGCAGCAACAGCAACAGCAACAGCAGCAACAGCGGCAACAGCAACATCAGCAGCAGCAACAGCAACAGCAGCAGCAACAACAACAACTGAGCACGAGCAGCGACACGTGCTCTACATGTAAAATTGACAAGGTGACGAGGTTGGTGGAAAGGTGGGTTGTGGGTGAAAAGGAGCGGGGTCGAGTGTGAAAATCGCACCTGGAGAGGTGAGCAAAAGGGAGGCAGCTAGCTACTCTACGTGCTGATGTTGTTGCTGTGTCTGCATTTATGGCATTTTTTATGAATGATGCAGCAGCAACAGCAACAACAACAGCAGCAACAGCAACATTTGGCGTTGATGAAGTGCTGAAAGGCAACTGCAGCATGGAGTCCTTCCTCTTCTTCTCCCAGTTGTGTACGCTCTCTGCGCATTTGTTTATGA